AGTGAGGAGAATACTAATATAATGGTAGTGGGTTTGTGTCAACCATCTTTGATACTGCTTAAATGTCACCTTTGCATCATTTATAATATTTCTGGTATACTATTTTTAAATGTTTATACAATAGTGTACTGCATATTGTAATAGAAATCAGCTCTAATATACATTATTTAGGTATGCATACTGGTCAGAGAGCCCGTCATAAGTCCGAGGCGTTGGTAAACAAGTACATCGCTAAGTGAGAAGAGGCTGTACACAAATAACCCGCACATAGGAGAATGAAACTTCTGATAATATTTTGGTCTGGACCATTAACAAGTCCACTGGTTAATGGCCCCAATTTTTGGATGAAATGTTTTTATAGTTTCTTTTCATTATGTGCGGGTTTTTTAAAATTAAGTGGGCCCCATTATAGGCGGGCTAGGTTTCCCAGGCGTCCCCGGAAAGAGACATTGCCGGAAGGCAGAACGCCATTTTTTTCATTTATAAATCCATAAAAATCCCGGGAAAAACAAGATTACACTAAATTATATTAAGTTGTAATGAACCAGGCATTAAAAAAACACACAAAGTAAAATAATTAACAGAAAATTTTATTCTTTCTTAAATTTTTTGTAATCTTAATGTAGGGAGAGGTGAGTAGTATTTATTTGTGGGAAAGTCATTGCAGGTGCCCAGGTGTAGGTAGCCTGGCTCCCCTTCTACTTAATATACCATATTTAAAACATCCCGAGAGGTAAAAACACATTAAGTAACTATTTTTTCCCTTTAAAAAAATTTGTTGTTTTAATATGGGAAAGAGGGTGCGGGTGGAGGTATTGTTGCCGTTGGATGAATCAGGGAAGGTAAGGGGAGCTTTTTTCCTATTATCTGTCTCAGTGCTGGGGCCTTTTGGCAGACGTAGGAGTGAAGACCTGTTTTGCGGTATAGGTCAGAAATAGCAAATTGGGGAAGGGTGGGAACCCTGTCATATGTGGTATTTTGCCAAGGGAGGAGTTGGAAATGAATGGTTGTCCAGGGCAATTTGGTGTCAATTGGGGCTGGACAAATACTGTAAGGAAAATGCGGTAACATTCATTGACAATGGGACCCTTCTATGGCAGAAAAGAAATGTATGCCAGGGTGGGGTTCTTATCTGGGTCTGGGGTGGGGATGGCAACTGCAGTGGAGGGAGCTGTTAGGACTTTAACTGGGAATAGTTGTGGTATGGGTTTTGGAGGAAAACAGTGAAGCCCCAGTTAGTAATATTATGAGTTCTAGGGGAACTAGTAATAAGCAGAACGAGGTAGATTTTGAAAAGCCAGAGACCTGGGTGAAAGGGACATAATAGGTTTAGTAGAAAAACAGAAATGAGAGGAAGGGTAAAGAGAAAGGAGAGTTTTCAATGTTTATATGCAAATAGGGGGAGTGTTGGGGAATAAGATGGCGGTTAGATTGTTGTGTGCAGGTAAATTGATTATTTCCCTTTAACTGAGATGGGGTTTTTAATTCAAAAAGGGGACATGCCTGCAGAATGTCACATTCAAAAGGGTTTTTTAAATGTTCCAATAGCAGAAAATTTGGGAGGGGGGGGGGGGGGTGGGGTGGCATTGGGTATGTCCGGACACTTGATGTTGATAAAAAAAGGGGGTTAAGTCTGAAGTAACACTACAGGTCTTTTGGAGAGAATTTTTAGTGGGCATGAAAAAAACTGATTTTAGGAGTTATTTTAACCCCCACCAAACTTGATAGGGACCAGGGAGTCTACTATGGGAGGAAATTGTTAAGGCCACAAGGCACGAAATGTGTAATTCTAGGAGACTTTAACTTTAGTCATATTTATTGGAATTTCTTAGATGGGAATTTAGAATCATAGATTCTTAGAAGTAGTTAGGATTGTTTTTTTAAGCGTTTGTGCGAAACCCAAAGGGGAAAAAAACCTGTTGACTTAGTTTGGCAACAATGAATCCTTTTAATTTAAATTTTTAAATTTCAGGGAACTGGGTGCTGCGACCCCAATAAATTTCATTTAGCATTGAATGGAAGTCGATAGTACGATAATCGTAACAGTCCCAGATTTTTGCCCCTTTGCAGTTACGAGGGCTTAGAGAATACAGTGGACCCCCGCATAACGATTACCCCGAATGCGACCAATTATGTAAGTGTATTTTGTAAGTGGTTTGTACGTGTTGTTTGGGGGTCTGAAATGGTAATCTTACTTCACAAAACCTTATGGGAACAAATTCGGGGCAGTACTGGCCCCGAAAAATACTTCGGAGTGAAAAAATATGTTAACCCGGGGGTCCCCCGTAATTATCATCGTTGACTGGGGTAACGAAGAGTTATCAAAATGACAGTTTTCTGAAAAACCCATACAGGCTCAAAAAATTTATCCCCTATAAAGAAAAAAAATTTGATCAATAGAAATGACCCCCAAATGGATGAATAATAGGTAAATTCTACTAGGGGTAAGAAAAAGGAATTTATAGGCATATCAAAAGAGGAGAGGGTCATCTTTGAATCAGTTATTTACATTAGGAGGGACATTAAAAAGGGGATAAGAAAAGCTAAAAAGGGACTTGAAATTTTAAAATTTCTAGGGATTCTAAAATAACCCAAAGAGTTTTTTCCAGGTCATAAACCCCAAAATTAGAGATAAGATAGGGCCCCTTTTAAAAAAAAAATATGGGCATCTTACTGACAAAGGAATGAAAGGGGGTCTTTTAAATAAATTTTTTTCTCTCAGTTTTTACCAGGAAGGCATAAAAAATATTCCCAATTTAATTTTTTTTGTGGGCTAGAAGAAGATAAATTTTGTACATCACAAAACACTAGTGAAAAAAAAAAGGTGGAAGAGATAGACCGACTGAAGCAAAAAAAAGTCACCCGGGGCCTGATGAGGTTTTTCAAGGGTTCTTAAGGAAAGCAAAAGGGAAAACTCTGTGAACCATTAACTAATATTTTTAATTTATCTCTTCAAACAGGTGTAGTGTCTGATATGGGAAAGATGGCTAATGTAATTCCTATTTTTAAAACAGGGACAAGTCGTTACCGTCAAATTACCACCCAAAAAGCCTGACCTCAATTGTAGGCAAAATACTAGAGTCAATTATAGCTGAGATTATAAAAAGCCATCTCGATAAGCATAGCTTGATTAATGATACTCAGCATGGATTCACAAGAGGCCAGTCTTGTCTAACTAATTTATTAACTTTCTTCAGTAAAGCTTTTGAGGCTGTTGACCACGATAAAGAATTTGATATTATTTACTTAGATTTAGTAAGGCTTTTGATAGAGTTCTGCACCATAGACTGTTAAAGAAAGTGGCAGCTCAGGGCCCATTGGGGGAAAAGTGCTCTCGTGGATCGAGTCATGGCTCACAGACAGGAAGCAAAAGAGTGTCCATAAATGGGGTTAAATCCGAGTGGAGATCTGTAACAAGTGGCGTTCCACAGGGATCAGTCTTGGGCCCGTTGTTGTTTATAATATATATCAATGATCTTGATGAGGGAATTACTAGTGATATGAGCAAATTCGCCGATGACACAAAGATAGGTAGGATAATTGATTCAAACGTAGATGTTATGGAACTTCAGGAGGATTTAAACAAACTCTATTCTTGGTCAGAAAAGTGGCAGATGCAGTTCAATGTAGATAAATGCAAGGTTCTGAAGCTCGGGAGTGCCCATAACCCTAGTACTTATAAGTTAAATGATGTAGAACTTAGCCATACAGATTGCAAAAAGGACTTGGGGGTTATGGTGAGCAGCAACCTTAAAAACCAAGAGAGCAATGCCTAAGCGTACGTAATAAGGCAAATAGATTACTGGGATTTATATCAAGAAGTGTAAGCAAAAAGAAGTCCAGAGGTTATACTGCAGCTTTACACATCATTAGTAAGGCCTCAACTAGATTATGAGCTCAATTCTGGTCTCCATATTACAGAATGGACATAAATTCGTTAGAAAAAACATTCAGCGTAAGGATGACTAAATTTAAAATACATAGCATTAGAAATCTTCCTTATGAAGAAAAGATTGAAGACTCTTAAGTTACATTCACTTGTTAGACGAAGAATGAGGGGAGGACATGATCGAAGTGTGTAAGTGGAAGATAGGTTTAATAAAGGGGATATTAATAAGGTCTTGAGGATATCTCTCCAAGAGAGAACCCGCAGTAAGGGTTTTTAAAATTTTAGACAAGTTTAGTTTTAGAAAGGACATAGGAAAGTATTGGTTTGGAAATAGGGTAGTTGATGAGTGGAATAGTCTACCTAGTTGGGTTATTGAGGCTAGGACTTTGGGTAGTTTCAAATTTAGGTTGGATAAGTACATGAGTGGGAGGGGTTGGATTTGAGTGGGACTTGCACATCAGAGCTTATTTCTTGGGTAGCATTGAAAATTGGGTTGGGCAAATGTTTTGTTAGTGGGATGAACTGTAAAGGACCTGCCTAGTATGGGCCAACAGGCCTCCTGCAGTGTTCCTCCTTTCTTATGTTCTTATGTTAGTATTTATTTGTAGGAAGTCAGTGTAGGTAGCCGGTAGGTGTAGCCCAGGTGGGCTACACCTACCAGCTACCTACACTGTGGCCCAGAGCCATATTATTAACATCGACATACCTTGTTCGCTGAATTTAATCATTTCTAGCAACTACCTTCAGATGCCATCATAAACGAAGGTAGAAGTAATGAATAATTCATGCCAAAAATTGTAAACAAAAGCGGAGGGGAGGGAGTGGTGGGCCAAAGCAGATTCTTTACATGTTTTCTCTGATGGCTGAGCAGAGAAAACGTAATGTTGTCCCTCCACCCGGCTACCACACAGGTCCACAAGTATTATTATCAGAGCACACATTAAATATGCAATAAATGCTAGACAACAAGTTTACACTAACTTATATTAAGTTAGCAATAGAAATAGGCATTAAAAACACAATAAAAGGTAAGATACACACAGAGTACACTTATTACTTCCCTTTAAAAAATTTATTAATTTAATGTGAGAGAGGTGAGTGGCAGGGAATTTATTGAATAAAATCAGAATGGCACACCATCATCCTCTAACTTGGCACTTAAAGCAAGAGGCTTACGACTTCTCTTTTTATCACAGCTAAGCTTAGACGCCATCGTCAATGACAGCCAACTAGTTAATGAAAGAGTAAACGAGAGAGAGAGAACGAGATACAGAGTTGAGACAATGTAAGAACACAAACTGAACAGGTAGTGTACGATCACTTGGTCAGGCGAAATAAATGCGTATTAATATGTGTCTACTTTTAGTTCATTCACCTCCATTTGTAAGTTTGTAAAACATTTACCTCATTATTTTTTATTATAATTATATTTACCTCACAATACAAATGCTCTTACATTGTGTACAAGTTGTACAAGTTAGTTCAGAATAAACAAACAGCAACACACCATTTTTAGAGTGAATGAAGATAATAATAATAATAATAATAATAATAATAATAATAATAATAATAATATTATTTATTATAAAAAGCACTAAACCCACAAGGGTCATGAATTGCTATATATAGAGTAAAGGCATATGAAAAGAATATTTTTCTACAGGTATCCCCAGTTTGACTAGAGAAAACATAATTCTTCGACACTACCTACACAGCTGCTTTGTAAACAAATCTCATATTTACATCAATTTTTATTCTGTGAGTGTATGTATCATGTTGATATGGTATGTAATGGGTTTCATATATAATTTTGAGGAAAATATCATAGATGGATTAATGAAAATGCCTATATTGATGTAAAATAAGACATTTAGTGTGCCCAAGAGTGAATATTATTACATAGTATTGGCGTCATGAGTAGAGAGAGACTTAGCGATTTTAATGTGTACCTGCACACCAGCACAGTGTGTAAGTATATTTAGATACAGGTACACTTAAGTATAATTATCAGAGTACTGTACATATAAAATATGCAGTAACTTTAAAACACTTGAAATTTTGTAAAGTTTTCTGACATAATAGATGAGGTCACGGAAAATGTAAACAAACCGGGTGGGGGCGCCGTATTTGAAAGACCGCTTGACGTATAGCAAATTTTGGTCATAATTTGACATCGCTGTATTAGCGGAACGCAGTAAGGCGAAACACTGTAAAGCGGGGCCTTACTGTATGTATACTTTTCAAAGAACTGCAACACTGATGGGATTTTGAATTTTGGGGGTTGCAACAATGAAAGAGTTAAACATGGTATAGTACCTTGGTTTTGCTTAGCCACGAAGAATTACCTATTTCACACAAGCTGAGAGAGAGGAATTCCCTGACCTCATTTAAGATTTTTTTGCAATTTAACATTACTGTACACAAATCCTGTTTGATAGAAACAATACAGTGCAGCATTTTTAATACATTTCTGGCAACAGAAACGAGTAGGGTTATGTTTCAGATTAAGAAAAATTTTGCACCAACCTGACATTTAAAATGGATTATAATCCTATTACAAAAACAAAAAATTTAATCGTAAAAACAAAACTATTTTGACTTAAATGTTACATATCATATTACAGTACTGCAGCTATTTGCCATAATTTTGCTACAAATTTAAATACCTGAATGAGGTGTTAAATTTGTATAATAAAATGATGAGTACTACTATACCTGCATCAGTGCCACAGACATGACAGCTCGACCTCCCATACTGTGGCCCATAAGCACTGCTTTAGAAATGCTGTGTTCTTCAAGGAAGAACAATATATCTTTGGCTAATAAGGGATAACAAAACTGAGATGTGTGAGGACTGTCACCATGATTGCGGGCATCTACTGTGTAAACCTGAAAAGTAATTTATCACATTACAGAATTTATAAAACACATCTTATGTAAGTTATATGTTATATTACTGCAATCTGATCAAAATTTTAAAGCTAATGAGAAAAACTGTCAGGTTAAGCACTTGTATATATAAATAAACAACAATTCAATATATCTGTTAATGATTGTGGATATCACTGGTCAAGGTTGGTCACAGACAAAGTCTAAGTTGAAAAGGAAATATTATAGCAATAAGAACTGGAAAATAAATATAAGTACTATAGATGTTTATAAGATTTACTTGCCACCTTACATGCTCATGAGACAGGAAAAAGAAGGCCAGCAATCCAGCCAGAGTAGAAAATATTTAGCAGGCTCCCACTTTACACTCATTATTACGGAGTACTGTAAAAAACAATATTTTATAAAATAATGCTCCATACATCGTCATTTTCCATGTAGTATATGGAAAGTGGACATGTAGTATTCCCGGAAAGCGAACCCGTTTTTATTCCTGTCAGTCAGGCAGTGGCCAGGACAGGAGCAGATGTGAGGTGTGTTTATTTCAGTACCAGACGGGTGGTCACGGGGTGAAGTCATCATGTTTGGGCGGTAGTCTGAGAAGGTAATTTTGGCAAGTGTTTTAGTGTGTACTATAGGTGTTTGTGTTTAAGTGCTCTCATGTTTATTTGTAAAGCCCTAGTATGCAGGGGTCTGTGTTTTGGAGAGTACATTTCCACACTAGGCTAAGTAGCCTGCAGAAAGGGGGAGTGTCATGGAGCCTCCCTGTTCATAAATGTTCATTTATTTTGTTTAACTCATTAGCAGCAGTGCTAGTGAGCTAATGTGAACTAGAGTGGTGGTTTATTGTAGTAGTTTATAAGTTGTATGTAAGTTACTTTTAATATATGTATATTTTTGTATAAGTGAGTTTTTGTGCCCTTCCTTATACAACATTAATTATTTGCACTCATGCTTAATTTGTATGAGAACATGCTGGCCCAAGGTTTGCTGTTTTCAGAGTAATTTTATAACCCCTAGACAGCAGTGTAAGCAGCCTTTAGGAGCCAGGAACATTTTATTTAAGTTACAACATCAAAGTCGTAACACTCTTGACAAGACAGTAAAATCTGCCTAGATAATTGCTGTCTACCAACCTACCAAGAGTATACAGTAATGTGAAAAGCATTTCTGCTACAAGTACACTTTCTCAAATTTAGTTTGATTGTTTTTCAATATGCAATACTTCCTCCATATAAAAAAAATAATGTACATTAGAACATCAGTAATCCAGAATCAAGCAAACCATGCCAAGATCACTAATAATTCTGGACAAGCACTCAAACTTAATACAGTAAACTGTACATATAGGAACATCTGAGTACAGTGTAAGTGTACAAAGTACATACAGAATAAAAATATTATACATGTACACATATGGTACAGTATAAGACACAAAACAGTATCAGTTGAAGTTATTTGAACAAATAATCCTTTTCATGTCCACTTTCAGAATACAGGACAAGTACAAAATTATAAGATACCAAGGACAGATAATTTAATTATGTGAAGTGTCGCAAGTGATGTCTTGGAAAACGAAGTGGGTTTAAAAAGTTAAAACCATGAAGCATCTTATCATGGCAGGAATACCCCAAAAATGGCAAAATAATGTGCAGTACTCACATGTCTTCCAGTTTTTGCATTTATAGCCTTGCCTAGTGACTTCCAATTAGTTTTGGAGCCCATCAAGCCATGCATAATAATGACTGGGGGCTCCTTGCTAATTTTTTCAGGTCCAGTTTGTTGAAAGGAAGTGTAAGCCATACTAATTGGTTCATAGCTAGAAAGGAAATGTTGAGATCAGCATAAGTGATTTACACAAAAACAAAGATAATTTGCAAGCATTTTATTAACCAAATACAATAAAGGAACATCTAGTAAGTAAGTAAGTTTATTCAGGTATACACAAATACAGTTACATAGAATTATCATACATAGCAGCATATGTGTAGAAAACCTAGGATAACCCAAAAAAGTCAGACAGAGTGATTTATTTCCATTGGGGTCCTTACTCATCAATTAACCTGCAATGATCAGAAACTCAATCACTTTTGGTGGTCAAATTCTGAGAAAGAGAATCCATGAACCCCAATGGAAAAAAAGTCAGTAGTTTTTCTTGGGCAAGTTAATCTTCCTTGCTTATTGCATTTAAAATTAAAATTATCTGAAAAATTCCATAATTATCCATTTATAATTATCTTCAGTATTTGAGTCTGAAGGTGATGTGAGCATTAACTCTTAAGTCTCTTTTCTTTCATTTCCAATAGTTGACATTCACATTCTTTCAGGTTATATCATTACATCACTGATATACAATACTAACAAGATAATGAATGAACACATGTGCAACCCTGAAGATACCCAGGCATTAAGTAAATAAGTTTATTTAGGTACAATTACACAGATTTTTGAATGATTGCAATTATCTTGCATAGCAACATGTGCAAATTACCTAAGATAACCCCCAAGAAATCAAACAAAGTGACTTATTTCCACTGGTATCCTTGTAATACCTTACTATTTAGCAGCCTAAGTATTGGATAAAGTAAAAATCAGTCACGATCAACAACAATAAATACAAAATAACCAGAGCAAATACTGCACAAAAATAAATTACTGTACAATAAAGAGAGATTCTATAGGAATAAAATATCATAAATATCAGAGAGAAAAAATCAAATGAAAATAACTTATGTTAATGTTAACTATACAAGAAATCATTTTCCTCCCTTTCTGTAGACTCCTCTATTAGGAAATTTTTAGTTTTCTTCCCAAACTGGTTTATACTATGACTGGCCTTGATATGATCAGAAAACCCCTTCCATTCTTTTATGGCTGTATATGATGTTTGAGGCCTGGCCACCTACTGAAGGTACTCCAGTAGGTACTACAGTAGGTGGTCAGTTTATAACATTGACAAAATTTGCAGGAATATATTTTGGACACTGATTGTGAACAATTTTGTAGACATGATTTAATGACTAAACCTATCTTCAGCATTAAGCATTTCCAGTAGTTGTAATTCATCCTGGACCACATGCTCTCTTGGACTCAGGTCCAGGATGAGTCACCAGGCTTGCTGACACTAACAATGCTCTTTTCTGTCACGTCAGAGATCACAGCCATCCTATTGACTGGTCTTCTGCTAAAACTGTCTTCCCTACTTCTAACTTTCACAGTCACCGTCTAGTTGAATCCTCCCTAATACACAACTTTCCTTGTATGAATCTTAGTCCTGGCTTTGTCTCTGTAGATGTCTTACTTTCCCACTACATTGTAAAAATGCTCCAAACTTCAGAACACCCGAAACTTAACCTGATTCCTCGTTTTTTCTTCTTCTCCTTCTTCCCTTTCCTCTTTCCTTTTTTCTTCTCTGGGTTGTCTTTCTTTCTTCTGTCTTGTATTTCTGTTCCTTCATTATTTATTTCATTATTTTCCCTCCCCCCACCTCTGTGTTCTTGCTCTCCCTCTGTGGGCACCTAGGTCCCTTGTGGGCACCTAGGTCCCTTGTGGGCACCTAGGTCCCTTGTGGGCACCTAGGTCCCTTGTGGGCACCTAGGTCCCTTGTGGGCACCTAGGTCCCTTGTGGGCACCTAGCTCCCTTGTAGTGCTCCCCTTTCTTTGACTGGCTCCTCCTTACTTCCCCATCACTACTTCCTTCCATCTCTGCCACTACTACTACCATCACCAGTACTACTACTACTACCTCTTCCTGCCTGCTCTACTTCTCGTTAGTGTGACTTTGTAAATGGTCCAAGTCGGACCGAAACGTCGTCGTAACCTCCTCTCTTCTATGTGCGGGTTATTTGTGTCCAGTACCTGAGTGTTAGTTGACTCGTGTGGGTGGCATCCTGGGGGGTAAGATTGAAGGGCCACAATGGAAATAAAACAGACAATACTCAATGACACACTGACTTTCTTGGGTTATCCTGGGTGGCTAACTCTCCCCCGGATTAAAAATCCCAACAATTCTTATCTTTATCTTATTCTGGGAAATTTACAGTCAATGTAGCACATGTTTTATTCAACAAATTATATACACACGATAATAACTGAAATTCGCACCAACCCTTGTGACTTGGTTGATAACTGCCTGTTTTTTGGCTGAGTGACGGCAAGTCTAGTAATATGGGAGTGAAAGGAGAGACATCTTGATGTGGACCTCAAGACACACTCCATGTTGTTATTGTTGTTGTTAAGGGCTGCCAAAGATTATGGCATATTGAGCCCTGCAGCCTGGGAGTCAAGGAAAAATAAGTTGATCATATATGGATAAACATTATATAGAAACAAAGTTTCCTCCGGAATGAGAAACGGAAACAAAACGTTCCCAATTAGATTAGGTTGATCCTCTTGCCTAAATCCCCAGAGAGCCAGACCCCCCACAAACATCTGAGTCAACAGCAACAGACTTTTCAATGGCCTAGAAGCTGACGTATGGCGGCCCCACCAACTGAAAAAAAAACACAAAATATAATAATAATAATAATAATAATAACATTATTTACTACAGGTACATGTACAAGGTATACAGTCCTAGCTGACATCTGTGACATACTACTATATAGAAAACCTTTTGTTATGCTGTGCATTTCCCAAAAATTAGCTCAGTTTTGTTTTGCCCCAGGATGCGACCCACACCAGTCCATTGAAAAGGATAAGATTCCTTCTGATTGGGGTCCTCAATCTTGTCCCCCAGGATGCGACCCACACCAGTCGACTAACACCCAGGTACCTTCCTGCTTCGAGGTGAACAGGATAACTGGCCCAGTGGCCTGGTGGCTAAAGCTCCCGCTTCACACACGGAGGTCCCGGGTTCGATTCCCGGCGGGTGGAAACATTTCGACACGTTTCCTTACACCTGTTGTCCTGTTCACCTAGCAGCAAATAGGTACCTGGGTGGGGGACAAGATTAAGGACCCCAATGGAAATAAGTTAGACAGTCCTCGTTGACGCACTGACTTTCTTGGGTTATCCTGGGTGGTTAACCCTCCGGGGTTAGAAATCTTATCTGATCTTAACTGGTGTAAGGAAACACGTCGAACTGTTTCTACCCTGCTGGGAATCGAACCCGGGCTCACCGTGTGTGAACCGAGAGTTTGCCAGCCAGGCCACGGGGTTACTAACACCCAGATACCCATTTCACACTGATGGGTGAACAGGGACAACGGGTGTCTTATGGAAACACGTCCCTACTACTGTATTCCACCCGTATCGGAGGAGATTTGAACTCCGGACCTCAGTGTGTGAGGTGGGTGCGCTAACGATCCAGCCACGGACCCGTAATGAAGCATATTCTCTGCCTTTACACCCCTCAGGGAAGGTTCCTTGATGTTGGTGAGGGGCTCTTGATTTAGGGAATTGGATCTGTGCTCCAGTTCCCCGAATTATGCCTGAATGCCTTCCACATCCCTCCCAGGCGCTGTATAATCCTACGGGTTTAGCGCTTCCCCTTGATTATAATAATAATAATAATAATAATCTGCCTTTACATCCACAATTTACAATCATCACCATAATGCATCAGAAATATTTACAGATGGATCACGAATCCTTAACAATGTTACACCCTCTGGAGCACTGTAGAATTTATTAGGCGCTTATGTTATTATTATTATTATTATTAAAGATTAGCCGGTATTCTCCCGGCCCGGGCCTTTTCCAAGTGGTGGCCCGGCCTTGGCTCCCTCTTTAGGGAGTGTCTGAGACCCAAGTCTCCCATGGGAGGAGGCACAAGTACCTCCTCATCTTTGGGACCAACTGTCCCCAGGCCTAGCCACAAGCTAGGCCTCTCTGGTCTGCCATCCCCGCCCCAAAGGGGCAAATGGGAATGACAGTCTTATGAGCTAAAGGCTCGGGCTCAGGCACCTACCCTACCCTAGAAGGGTTAGGCGTGGTGTCGATGAAAAAAAAGGGCGCTTATGTTAATTAACACACTCTTCCGATAAACAATTATGTAATTTGGAATGACTCAGTAACTACTATACAGAATGTTACTTTAAAACATACAACGAGCTTTCATGACCCTGCGTCACCTAATATGATTAATGTGTCACGTTAAATATATCTATGGAAAAACTAACAAAGGCAGTAGAATGCAAGAAGTTGTTACAACTAGACTAAGGCTGGGTTCAAGTATCTCTGGCAGTACACTTGTATGGAGATGTTAATTATGTCTGGATAGAGACCGGGCCATACACTATCTTAATAATAATTAATAATAACAACAATAATAATAATAGTATCTTTATTTCTACAAGTACATGTACAAGGTATACAGGTCTGACTGACATCAATGACATATTACTATAGAGAAAGTTGCTTATTATGCACAGCATTTCCCGCAAATTAGGTCAGTTTAGTCCCAGGATGCGACCCACACCAGTCCACTAACACCCAGGTACCTGTTTTACTGATGGGTGAACATGGACAGCAGGTGTCTTAAGGAAATAAGTTCTAATGTTATCACTCGTACTGGGAATCGAACCACGGACCTCAGTGTGTGAGCTGAGTCAGCTAGCAACCGAACTACCGGACACCAAAACTACATTCCAGAAATAATACAGCATATTTATTCCATTGTTTAAATCATCAGAATGTAAGAACCATCTTTGAACATAAACTTAGCAATGCACACCATGCTAGTGGCTTTCTTTAGTACCTAACAATATTTTGTTACATGTAAACTACATTACCTGTACACTGCAGAAAAGAAATAAATTGTTTCTTTGTTTGTTTAGTGTCCAAACATTCAATTTATGACATATTAGTTCAGCGAGTACCCGCACACTGTGAATAGTACACAGTGAAATAATTAATAAATTAGCTAAGACAATGCACAATGCAACATTCACAACACAGTTATCAACTTCACATACTGGACGTAAACAAACTATGAAAAATATCATCTGTAACATTTTCATTAAAAAGTGGAAATTCATGTTCATCAGCACCCTCTGGCCCGGTGGCCTGGTGGCTAAAGTTCCCGCTTCACACACGGAGGGCCCGGGCCGGGTTCGATTCCCGGCGGGTGGAAACATTTCGACACGTTTCCTTACACCTGTTGTCCTGTTCACCTAGCAGCAAATAGGTACCTGGGTGTTAGTCGACTGGTGTGGGTCGCATCCTGGGGGACAAGATTAAGGACCCCAATGGAAATAAGTTAGACAGTCCTCGATGACGCACTGACTTTCTTGGGTTATCCTGGGTGGCTAACCCTCCGGGGTTAAAAATCCGAACAAAATCTTATCTTAATAAGTAGTAGTAATTCGTTCGGGTCTCGAACCCCGGACCCTAGGGTAAGAGTCGCGCCTCTCACCACTGGGGTGCCCGGTGGCCTGGTGGCTAAATAGCTCTCGCTTCACACACGGAGGGCCCAGGTTCGATTCCCGGTGGGGTGGAAACATTTCGAGGCGTTTCCTTACACTTGTTGTCCCGTTCACCTAGCAGTAAGTAGGTACCTGGGTGTTAGTGGACTGATGTGGATCGCATCCTGGGGGACAAGATTGAGGACCTCAGTGGAAATAAGACAGACAGTCCTTGATGACGCACTGACCTTCATGGGTTATCCTGGGTGGCTAACCCTCCAAGGTTAAAAATCTTATCTTATTAAACAAGAGTTTAGACACAGCACTGGCCACACTAAGGCTGGAACCCACTGAGAAAGCACAGCACAGCACAGCACAGCACAACACAGCACAACACAGCACAGCACAGCACAGCACAACACAGCACAGCACAGCACAGCACAGCACAACACAGCACAGCACAGCACAGCACAACACAGCACAGCACAGCACAGCACAACACAGCACAGCACAGCACAGCACAGCACAACACAGCACAGCACAGCACAACACAGCACAGCACAGCACAGCACAGCACAGCACAACACAGCACAGCACAGCACAACACAGCACAGCACAGCACAGCACAACACAGCACAGCAAGCACAACAAAAGCACAGGGACAGCACAGCACAGCACAGCACAGCACAGCACACACAGCACAGCACAGCACGCACACACAGCACAGCACAGCACAACACAGCACAGCACAGCACAACACAGCACAGCACAAACAGCACAGCACAGCACAGCACAGCACAGCACAACACAGCACAGCACAGCACAGCACAGCACAACACAGCCACAGCACAGCACAGCACAACACAGCCCCAGCACAGCACAACACAGGGACAACACAGCCACAGCACAGCACAGCACAGCACGCACAGCACAGCACAACACAGCACAGCACAGCACAGCACAGCACAGCACAGCACAACAAGCACAACACAGCACAGCACAGCAAGCACAGCAAAAACACGCACAGCACAGCACAGACAACACAGCACGCACAGCACAGCACAGCCAACACAGCACAGCACAGCACAACACAGCACCAGCACACACAACACAGCACAGCACAAACACAGCACAGCACAAACACAGCAAAGCACAACACAGCACAGCACAGCACAGCCCCAGCACAGCACAGCAAGCACAGCACAACACAGCCCACAGCAGCACAACACAACAAGCACAGCACAGCACAGCACAACAACAACACAGCACAGCACAGCACAGCACAACAAACAGCCAGCACAGCACAGCACACACAGCACAGCACAACACAGCCCGCACAGACCACAGCACAACAGCAAAACACAGCACAGCACAGCACGCACAGCACAGCACAACACAGCACAGCACAGCACACACAGCACAGCACAACACAGCACAGCACAGCACAGCACAGCACAGCACAACAAGCCAGCACAGCACAAACACAGCACAGCACAACACAGCACAGCACAGCACAGCACAGGGACAGCACAGCACAACACACACAGCACAGCACAACACAGCACGCACGACAGCACAGCACAGCACAACACAACACAGCACAGCACAGCACAGCACAGCAAACACAGACAGCACAGCACAGCAAACCAACACAAACACCCGCACAGAAACACAGCACAGCACAGCACACACAACACAGCACAGCCAAAACCCGCACAGCACAGCACAGCCCCAAACAGCACAACACAGCACAGCACAAACAGCACAGCACAAAAGCACAGCACAGCACAGCACACACAGCCAGCACAGGGACAGCACAACACAGCACAGCACAGCACAACACGCACAGCACAGACCAAAACAGCACACACAGCACAGCCACAGCACAGCACAGCACAACAAGCACAGCACA